TTAGGTAACTTTGCATCCCAAAGAAAATTTTAGACCAATTAACTAGGCGATCTTACCAAACATTTGTCTTGAAAGAAACTGCTCCTCGCGGTTGTGCGTTGCACTAAGTTAAGGTTGGATTCCATACACGACAATAGGTTGCTAACGGATAGAGTGAATTAACCAACAACTATTGAAAGTAACCGCTCAGACGCTATTTTGAGTCACGTTAAAAACAACATAGACTTGCACGTTTGTGCGCGGTTTACCGAGACAAAAATATAGTAGTCGCTCATTTTGTTGAGGCATGTCAATAATGTGATTCAGCAACAAGACGAACATTTGCACAAAACGAATAGTAGCCGCGCTCGTTTACCAACCAGGCAACCACACACATCAATACGCCGAATCATCGGCCATACTTGAAAACAACCACTCGCACGAGGTTGTGCCTTTCGTTAAGTTAGTGTAACTTTTGCATTTTATACAAAAGGGAACTATATATATGGGTCAGTTTTCATATGTGGTGGTTGATAGACCAAGTTACCAAATATTAGTCTTCAAAGGAACCACCTGATAACGGTTTTCATTTGCTTTAAGTCAATGGATAGAAGGTTGCATTGTTGTATATAGACGACAATGTGTTGGTTATCCTTGTGAGTTGTGAGTGGATAGATTTGGATTATAACAGAGAGTTATATTGAAAGAAAAAAAGTACTCCCTTTGATCATTAGTATATGACATTTTGATTAAGATATGGTCAAACTTATGAAAATTTGACTATTATAGCTTATTTAATTTGGAAATATAAAAATTGCACATGTAGATTTGTCTAAAAAATAACGTTTCCATAATCCCATACATTCATTACACACTATAGCTATATTTAAAATTCAATAGAAATTTTGCACTTTGAAGACCACAAAATGACCAAAAAAGACATATTTTATTGGAGGAAGTAACTGTCACCTTGATCATAGTTCTAGATTATGTTAAGACATTGGTCATTTACCTATTGCCTCTAGATATATTAAGCTTGAAAGGAACTGTTCAAATGTGGTTTTGCATAGCGTTAAGTTAGGTAACTTTGTGTCCCAAAGAAAATCTTAGTCAATTAACTAGGCGATCTTACCAAATATTTGTTTCTAAAGAAACCATTCCTCACAGTTGTGCATTGCACTAAGTTAAGGTTCGACTCCGTACATGACAGTAGGTTGGCAGACCTATTTTGAGCATGGTTTTGGAACCTGTTTCTAGTTTTAAGGAAAATAAAGCAATAGGTGTACCTTGCAATGGTGTATGTGGTACAATTTATAAGTTGCTTACTTATGGGTAAAATTAGTTGAAATGAACAGCTAAAACGGTGTTATTTCTTTGCAGCTTTTCTTGGTTGGGGGTGACCTAAGTACTAACGAGTGATTTTCCTCTGTTTACGTAGGTTGAATAGGGCCATCAATTACTGCCGATCCTTCCTGGGCCCTTTGTTGGGGGGCAGCCTATGCAGACAAGGGCATGGCACCTATGCAGGGAGTCGAGTGGTCATCACTCATCAGGCAATGGAAGCAGGGCGCAGTCACTGTGGGTGGCCTGCCTTTCATTGGCTAGCAACACTAGTAGCCCTGGTCGGTAGAGAGCTAGCCCAGCATGGACGGAGACGGGTCGGGCAGCATCGGATCGATCCTGAGCGCCGGCCGGCGCCACCGATGGATGACGACATCACACCGTCGCCGTGCCGCGCGCCGTCGCCGCCGGTTGCTTGGACGGCAGGTAGACCGCGCGCGCGCACGTACGGACGGCGTGCTGTTAAATGCTAGTACAGCAACCTCGCGGTCGCGGAGGAGCCTTGCATTGCGCGGGTACACGATCGGAGCGGAGGTGGTGGTGGCACTAATGGCGTTGCCGTGTGGGGGGACGGGTTAACGTGCCGGCGTTTGCAGTTGGATCTCCGTGCGTGCGGATGTGTGTACTCCATCACCGGAAACCGTTGGAGCCATCGATCGATCTTTAATCACCGTACTAGGTACGTTTACGTACGCGTACTGCACTGGTGGATCGAGATTTTTAGTGAATGATTATATGATCTCTGACGCTCTCGTTCACATGGTTAACTGTGTGCATGTATAGGCGTCGTCGGTGAGAGGCTGTGAATCGAGACGACGATGGGCGCATCGATTTTCACCGTGACGGACGACGGCACAGAGATGGCCAGGTCGATGGAGGTCGGGCCGATCGGTGGACGCGCGCGTCCCCGTCGTACCAAGTAGCGCCACTACCCACTGGCTCGATACGCTGCTGCTGGTGCGTGGTGGATCCATGGATCTATCTAGTGGGGCGACGGCGCGGCCATGCGCGCAGCGACACAGGTCACAGGGCCGGCCGGGGTTAGTGTGTGAGTGGTCGCGTGGACGCTAGCCTCACCCTCACCCCCGTTAGTTCAGGGAGCGCCATCAACGCCACGGCGTAATGCACTACTAGGCGACGGCACCACACATACACGACGATTTTCACGCAGAAGCGTATGTGTGTTAAGTAAGTACAGGCGCGCCCGCCCCAAATTAAAAGCAGCATTCGTCAGCTGTACATTGTACTCTATGCATCGTATACCGCATGCCTCCTCGTTCGTGTTGCGCGTCAAGGTGACGACGGACGGAGGCCGGAATTCCAGGTTTTGCACGTACACAGCTCACACGAACGACGAATTCCATTTGACAACCTGTATGTGTATGTACAAACGCGCGCGCGCGCGCGACGCCGGCCGGTAGTCCTGGTCCCGGTCCCGGTCCCGGTCCCGGCGAGGTTTTTGACCTGGGGCAGAGACGTGCACGTTACTAGGCGCGGAGCAGGACGTCGCCTGCACGCCCCGGGGACCATGTCGCGGGCGCGGGCGGAACGTGGTGGTTTCCCCGTGAACCCAATTGGTTGCAAGGGAACAAAACACCCTCTGCCCCTGCGGCCCTGCCTGCGCTGTGACCTGAGTAAACTCGCTCGATCACTCCGGCGCCGGGCCCCCAAGGGCCATGCCATGGAATCTACAGAGGCATACATGCCCATGTACGCGGTTGCAGATTGCAAGGCAGGGTGAGGGATTGGGAGGTGGATGCATGAATGAAGACGCCACGGAACTTTCCGTGGAATTAACCCGCTGCAGCCCCCGATCGGATCCACCGCGGCACCGTGTGCCCTGCAATCAATAACCCGGCTTCCTTCCCGGAACCTTAAGGCCCTGTTCGGTTCCGGGGAATGACCTCTAGAAAAAATTCCAGGCCGGATCGGTAGTTTCATTTATATTAGCTTTTCAGAGCTGAAACTGTTTCTCGTGTCATAGCGTTGTAACCGAACGGAGCCTAAGGCTTGGCTTGGAAAGGTAACCTACCCAGCTCATGATGGGAGCCTGCTGCCATTGCTCTGCGCTCAGCTGCTGCTGCCAACGCCATCGCCATGTACACGCATGTAGTACTGCGAGTCCAGCACGACGGAGGGACGGACCGGACGTAGTACGTGCGCTGCTCCCGTCCCAGCGTCCCTGATCATGTTCCATTGATGGAAGGGAGGCGTACGTCGTCGGCGTCACGGGTCGGCCCAGCGCCCCAGCTGGAGCCCAGGGCCCAGAGGGGAGAGAGGGGGAAAATGGAAAGGCAAACGCAAGGAATCTTCCAATCAGGGGACGCGCGAGGACGTTAGCTAGTTATCCTGCTTCTTCCTCGATGACAGCGCAATCGACCAATGTCCACCCTCAGGACTCAAGACGATTTCCAACAACAACACCCAAAATATAAGATCCATTTAATGTTTGTATAGCGCTATAGTCAAAGGGTTCAATACCCATTTGACATCCTCTCCAACAACGGGATCCAAAAGAAAATCCTTTCTGCAAATGGATTTCCAGAAGAGAGGATACTCATATTTGGGTCGTGCCTCTCAGACAACCCAAAATGGGTCTCCCATATAAGTACTCTGTTGGAGGCTGATTTTAGGTTTTCTACTACCAATTTTGAGTTTGGATGCGCATATGGATCATAAAAAAAATACAGGAGCATAGTAGCAAAAGCAAACTAATCATTACCGTCGCTTTATTCTATTCCCCGCCGATTAGTGAGTGCCTAGGTTAATCAAGTGGCGCAATGCCAACGGGAGTGGGAGGGAGGAGAAATCCGCACCATATCTGGCCGTGCCCGGGGCGAGCGATGAATAAATAAATAAATAAACTTTTTATTAATTAGAGCGCCGCAAATTAATAATCAGGCGGAGGAGGGTATAGTCCTGCTAGCTAGTGCATGAAGCCAGGGGGATCACATGGGGGTTAACACGGAACATTAGCGGAAGCAGCCTGGTAGGTAGGTGCCCCCGTATGGGCCTCGGTGGGCGCCTGTTCATAGCGCAGCTTGCAAATGCCTGCCTGCCACCTACTGACCTACATATACGCGCACAGCTCACCTTCTTCTTCCTTCATCACACACAGAGAGTCGGCGGCCTGCTGATTACCCATAGAAATCGTGGAGGGAGGGGGGTGCTTGCCTTCCAAAACTCACCACCACTCACGCATATCCAGCTCGCTCGCTCTCACTCACACGCGCATAGGGACGGACGACGCGCACATTGACAGAGCAGCTGAGTGAGTAGATACCTACAGCTACAGAGTGTGAAGAAAAGAGAGAGGGACGTGTACAAAAATACAGAGGAAGCTTAGCTAGCCTCCCCTGCCTGCCTTGCAAACCCACCCGACCGACACTCGGCTAGTGAATTTCTATATATCCCGTCCCTCCCCCCCCACGTACTTTACTCGGCATCTCATCTCCCTCCCACATCACCACCCCTCGCCCCGCGCCACCTTCTCTTCTCCCTCTCCTCCTCTGCCTCTCTCCATCCTTCTCATACAACCCAGAAGAGCAGAGCAGAGGAGGCAGCTTCGCATTCCTGGTCTCCGTCCTCCAATCCCCCGCTCGGCCTCTTCTCTCTTTCCTCGAGAGAGAAGAGCCACCACCGTGTCCGACAAAGCGGAAGGGGAGGGCGCGCCCGGCATTATGGCGCCAGGCGGCGGAGACGGCCGGCGCAACGGCGAGGCGGCGACAGGACAGCAGGCGAACGGCGGCAACAACGCTAAGGCGAAGCACGGGTGCGTGTGCGGGTTCCCCGTGTGCGCGTGCGCCGGCGCCGCCGCGGTGGCGTCCGCCGCCTCCTCCGCCGACATGGACCGCGTGGCGGTCGCCGCCACCGAGGGCCAGATCGGCGCCGTCAACGACGAGAGCTGGATCGCCGTCGACCTCAGCGACGACCTCTCCGGCGACGGCGCCGACCCCGGCGTCGCGCTCGAGGACCGCCCCGTCTTCCGCACCGAGAAGATCAAGGGCATCCTCCTCCACCCTTACAGGTATATATGCAATCCTCCTGCCTTTCTCCGCTTCTCCTGTGTCTCTCACTGAATTCACCTCGCCGGCACACACGTCTGCATTGACCGGCCTCGCCGCCGGCCCTCACACGCCGCCGTAGCATCTACTCCCAACAACGCTGTCAAGCGCCCAGTCTCCCACTCCAAGCACTCTAGCTAGGAGATTGCAGCAGTGGATTAACAACTAAACAAAACAAAACCAGGCAGTTAAATTTCAACCTCATCAATCAATCTGGGCTCAGACCCTAGACATCAGAAGACAAGTGCACGTTACCGTTAGGCAGGGGACCCCCCCGAGGCCCCGACCTGGGATACCGCGTCTCCCGTTGGGCTGTCGGCACTGGCGTCACCGCCGCTGCACGGTGGGCCGGGCCAGCTGGACGGGAACGTTGGGAGGGAGGGAGTTTAATTCGTTGGGTTCCGGGGCCCTGCCACTGCCAGGTGGGGCCGGCCTCTGCCCCTGGCGGCTCATAAATGTTTTTCTACCTGCCCCGGAGTCGGTGAAGGTGAAGCCACCACCGTCGGTGTTGATGGCTGGGTGGGTCTGTGCTAATTACCCACAGGGGGAATCCGAGGTGGGGGGTGTGCGGCCGTTCTGGTGAAATCCATGAATGAATGCTTTCTTCAGATTGCCTGCGTAGCAGCCTAGGAGGCGTGGCTTGCATGTGACTCCAAGCAAGCCATCATTGAAAGCCTCCAAGTTCCGGTAAAGGCCAATGATGATTAGCGAGAAAGTCCGCGTAATAACTGCAAAGCTCCTTGTGCTGTGTGTCTGTCCACTAATGTGTTTTTTTCCCGTTGTTCTTTTGGGCCGTGGGGGGTTAAGGTGAAAGTGGTATGACCTAGTTTTGGACCGGAGGAAAGAAGGATGTTTGTGGAAAAATGAAAAGGAGGGTGAAAAGAAAAACAGAAAGGGGGACTGTGGTGGTGGTGTTGGGGGTGTTCCAGTTGTCGCCTCTCCTTGGGGGTGTTGGATTCTTCTAGAGGGCTCAACTGTCTTTTTGGGGTTGCATCTAATCCTAGCTTTCATGCATGAGCTTTGGGGCATCCATCCAGGGAAAAAGACTAGCACATCTCCAAAAGCACACGCTTTTGATAGAGGAAGAGAAAAAGATGGGGGGAGGAAGAGGTAGTGGTAGCTCCACATTAGCCTCGGCATGGTGACGACAGCTCGAGATGGAGGGGATTAGATTTCGGCCCATTTACAGCTCAGACCGTAGCAGTACGTACTTGGCTGTAGCGTACAGTACGTACTTGGCAGTATAGGATTTGCTTTCCCGAGTCCACGCTGTACAGCAGCACCGCGCGCGTCCCTTACATGGGATTGGGCTACTACCGGAGCATACACACAGGAGTGGTGGGAGGGGAGCTGGCCTGAAATTATTCCAGGCGGGCCCTGCCAGGAAAGCATTGGCTCTTTTTCGGCTTGCTCATAGAATCAGCTCTACTTTTTCAGTAATATTTCTCTCTTATAACAAATTAGCTCTACAAATCAGTCGCAGCAGCAATAAGTCCTGCCGAACATAGCCATTATTGCAGCAGCAGTAGGCTCGTAGGTGAAGGACCCCAAGTGGAAACAAAAGAAATCTGTTGTTTCCGGAAGGAAAAATAGAAGGTGGAGGAAAAAAATTTCAGGGGGAAAAGAAGACCGTTATTCCTTGCAAATCTATGCCGCTCTGCCTCTCGGGGGCGTGGGGTCCCCCCGAGCGGCAGCCTTGCCTGGCTGGCAGGCGCTGGCGCTTTCACGCCGCGGGCCCCGTGGCTTGGACGCGGACGGAACGGACGGGCGGGCGCCCCGCTTGTCGGTGGCGTGGCGTCGTGCTAGCTCACGCGCATTGACTGCCACCCCCACCACGCCAGCGGTTCCGTTCCCCTCGCGCTCACATGATTGGTCGGGTGGATTCCTCCTCCTCCTCCTCCTCCGGCCTTTCGCCACGGCCGTGCCGTGCGCCCCTGGACAGTGGATACTGGACTGGACGGCAGCACGCACACGCATATGCTCGCCTCAGGCTGTGAGAGGCCGCCAACATGATGCATGTTCCCTCCCCAATTATTGCACGACCCAACATCGTGCATGCACTCAATCACCACTCACGCTTTGTTTTTTAGTATTTATCATCACTGTTATTGCTGTTAATCACCACCATGATTATGCAAATTATTAAATTTAAAATTTGGAATTGAATTTTAACTAATAATAACGATGCGTGTTGGTGAATCCGTGTTCTGCCGCAGGGTGCTGATCTTCGTCCGTCTGATCGCGTTCACGTTGTTCGTGATCTGGCGTATCTCGCACCGCAACCCGGATGCGCTGTGGCTGTGGGTGACCTCGATCGCGGGCGAGTTCTGGTTCGGCTTCTCCTGGCTTCTCGACCAGCTCCCCAAGCTGAACCCGATCAACCGCGTCCCGGACCTCGCGGTGCTCCGGCAGCGGTTCGACCGCGCCGACGGGACGTCCCTCCTCCCCGGGCTGGACATCTTCGTGACCACGGCGGACCCGTTCAAGGAACCCATCCTGAGCACGGCCAACTCCATCCTCTCCATCCTGGCCGCCGACTACCCCGTGGAGCGCAACACGTGCTACCTCTCCGACGACTCCGGGATGCTGCTGACCTACGAGGCCATTGCGGAGGCCGCCAAGTTCGCCACCGTCTGGGTGCCCTTCTGCCGGAAGCACGGCATCGAGCCCCGCGGGCCCGAGAGCTACTTCGAGCTCAAGTCGCACCCGTACATAGGCCGGTCGCAGGAGGACTTCGTCAACGACCGCCGCCGCGTCCGCAAGGAGTACGACGAGTTCAAGGCGCGCATCAACGGGCTCGAGCATGATATCAAGCAGAGGTCCGACGCGTACAACGCCGCTAGGGGGCTTAAGGACGGCGAGCCCAGGGCCACCTGTATGGCCGACGGTAACCAGTGGGAGGGCACATGGGTCGAGCCCTCCGAGAACCACCGCAAGGGAGACCACGCCGGCATCGTCTATGTGAGTCTTCTTCTTCTTTCTTCTTTAAATTATTACTAGTACTTCCCTAGATTATACTACTACTAGATTGATTTTTTGCATGAATGTGAATGCATGGCTAGCTGGCCACCGCCACAAAAATGGCTAGAGAGTGGGGAACGCATCACATCCTTGCAGTGATATGGCACATGTGGCCGAAATCGGTTAGTAGATGAAGGGTGTTTTTCCAAGGGATTTGACGGAATGGACGGGGCTGATGGTCGAGAGGGCAACCACCGCCGCGTACACTAATTCCGCAGCTGTACAAATACCAGTGTCCACCACCACCACCATTGAATTGAATGGACGACGCCACGGCGGATGATGCGTCCACCATGGGATGGGCGGGCAGACACAGACAGAGCCATCCAGCTAGCCCACCTATTGTCCCATTGAACCCCTAGCGTGACGAGGTGGTTGGGGTGGTCCTTTCGCCCCCCGACACCACCACGGCATCGCCTTTAAATCCAAATTCAATTAGCCACTGGTGGATTCCTGATTAGGGCTGTGATGCGCAGCTGTGGTGCTGTGTGTGCTGCCTTTCTTCGGTCGCCCTCAATCATTGATTCCCCGGATAAATTACTCTGCTCTACCCACCTGTAGTAAATTAATTAACTTAAGGAATCACCACTATTACACATTGACATTTACCATCGCAAAGTTAACCAACCCGCTCGGTAAATAGCAGTAATTACCCGAGCGGAGGCACTGCAAATGTTAAAAAAAATTTACCCTCAGTAACTAACGGTGGCGCTCCATGGAAAAAAATGCAGGTGCTTCTGAACCACCCCAGCCACAGCCGTCAGCTCGGCCCGCCGGCGAGCGCGGACAACCCGCTGGACTTCAGCATGGTGGACGTGCGGCTGCCCATGCTGGTGTACGTCTCCCGTGAGAAGCGGCCGGGGTTCAACCACGAGAAGAAGGCCGGCGCCATGAACGCGCTGACCCGCTGCTCCGCCGTGATCTCCAACTCGCCCTTCATCCTCAACCTGGACTGCGACCACTACATCAACAACTCGCAGGCGCTGCGCGCGGGCATCTGCTTCATGCTCGGCCGCGACAGCGACACGGTGGCGTTCGTGCAGTTCCCGCAGCGGTTCGAGGGCGTGGACCCCACAGACCTGTACGCCAACCACAACCGCATCTTCTTCGACGGCACGCTCCGGGCGCTGGACGGCATGCAGGGCCCCATCTACGTCGGCACCGGGTGCATGTTCCGCCGCATCACGCTCTACGGCTTCGACCCGCCGAGGATCAACGTGGGCGGGCCGTGCTTCCCGTCGCTGGGCGGCATGTTCACCAAGACCAAGTACGAGAAGCCCGGGCTGGAGCTCACCACCAAGGCCGCCGTGGCGAAAGGCAAGCACGGCTTCCTGCCCTTACCGAAGAAGTCGTACGGCAAGTCGGACGCGTTCGTGGACACCATCCCGAGGGCGTCCCACCCGTCGCCGTTCGCGGACGCGGACGAGGCCGCCGCCATCGTGGCCGACGAGGCGACCATCACCGAGTCCGTGGCGGTGTGCACGGCGGCGTACGAGAAGAAGACCGGGTGGGGCAGCGACATCGGGTGGGTGTACGGCACGGTGACGGAGGACGTGGTGACGGGGTACCGGATGCACATCAAGGGGTGGCGGTCCCGCTACTGCTCCATCTACCCGCACGCCTTCATCGGCACCGCCCCGATCAACCTGACGGAGCGGCTGTACCAGGTGCTCCGCTGGTCCACGGGCTCCCTGGAGATCTTCTTCTCCCGGAACAACCCTCTGTTCGGGAGCACGTTCCTGCACCCGCTGCAGCGCGTGGCGTACATCAACATCACCACCTACCCGTTCACGGCGCTGTTCCTCATCTTCTACACCACGGTGCCGGCGCTGTCGTTCGTGACGGGGCACTTCATCGTGCAGCGGCCCACCACCATGTTCTACGTGTACCTGGCCATCGTGCTGGGGACTTTGCTGATCCTGGCCGTCCTGGAGGTCAAGTGGGCGGGCGTCACCGTCTTCGAGTGGTTCCGGAACGGCCAGTTCTGGATGACGGCCAGCTGCTCCGCGTACCTGGCCGCCGTGTGCCAGGTGCTGGTGAAGGTGGTGTTCCGGCGGGACATCTCCTTCAAGCTGACCTCCAAGCAGCCCGCGGGCGACGAGAAGAAGGACCCCTACGCCGACCTCTACGTGGTGCGCTGGACCTGGCTCATGGTGACCCCCATCATCATCATCCTCGTCAACATCATCGGATCCGCCGTGGCCTTCGCCAAGGTGCTGGACGGCGAGTGGACGCACTGGCTCAAGGTGGCCGGCGGCGTCTTCTTCAACTTCTGGGTGCTCTTCCACCTCTACCCGTTCGCCAAGGGCATCCTCGGGAAGCACGGCAAGACACCCGTGGTGGTGCTCGTCTGGTGGGCATTCACCTTCGTCATCACCGCCGTGCTGTACATCAACATCCCCCACATCCACGGGCCCGGCGGCAAGCACGGCGGCGCGATCGGAAAGCACGGCGCCGCCCACCACGGCAAGAGGTACGAGCTCTACGGCTGGCCCTGAGGGACCGAGCAGCCAGCCGCCGCCGCCCAGCATCGTCATGCATGCACATACCTGCCCTGATGATGATGATATGATGAGCCGGCCGCGAAGGAGAAGAGTACGTTCCCGTTCATCCATCCATCCATCCTTAGTACTACCTGGTGATTGGTTGATGAAGAGTGAAGACTACACAGCAGCCCCCACACACATTTGATCGACCCAGCGACGTACCCGCCAAAATTTGATTTTTCTTCTTTCTTCTTTCCTTTTTGCCCCCCCTTCTCTTTATTCTTTTTCTTTTAGTTTTGTCCAGAAATTGAGTGTTGATTTGATTTAGTTTTTTAATTACCGTACCCGTGGTAATTAATTATGTACCTACTTATATATATACATTACATTACGCCGAAGAGGAAGGAGGAAGGAATCAGTGAATCACCACCTTGTATAAGATAATAAGAAGAGAGAAATGGGGAATGTAGATGGGGCTTACGGGTGGGGCCGGGGTGTCAGTGTCTGCTTGTCTGTACTGTACATGCTGGAGTGGAGAGGAGTCACATACAGAGAGAGTGAGAGGGGGTCTAGGGCCCGGCTTTGGGGTGGTATTCTTTTAGTATATGGAAAAAACACAATAAATTTAATTTCATTCTTGTTCTTGGAAAAAATGCTTGTGTGCACACCCTGCTGTGTCCTCCTGGACTGGACTCTGTGATCCATCAGATCTTGTATGTACTGCACTGTACTGTTGTATACTACTACCACCACCACCACCTGTGTTGTTAGTAATTGATACTACTACTCCACAACTCTGTTGATCTAATTAATGTTTTGTTTTATATGGCTATGATTAGTCAATGGTGAACTAGCTGGAACGATGTGTTGGACTGTTGGTTTTGTGTGCTACTAGTGCTTGTTGTCTGTTGCTTGTGAATGGGAATTTCTTGAGCTCTTCGCCATGGCGCGGGTGGTGTTTTGACTTGTGAGCTGGTTGATGATGCCCTAGGGCCATGTGATGGCATGGCCGTGCTTGTTAAGTTGTCCTCTGTTGGAGCACTGCGCGGCATCGTGCAGAGCAGAGGAGCAGTAGTGGCTTTACGTGGCCTGTGACTTGTGAGTGGTTAGGCAGGTAGCGGGAATCTTGTGCTGTGCCAGCAGGACTTGACTTGAGAGGCTTCTTCAACTGAACGTGGATGCGTTGATGGGAGGGAGAAAGAGTCATGTGAACAAGCATGCTGCTGTTCGGCAAACGCGGCGCCTCTGTCCATGACTCCATGCCATACTTGAGTGGACAACATGGCGTCTGTTGGGACAGAGCAGAGCAGCATGGGTTTCCGTTTTCAAGGAGGTTGGTGGCTAGGCTCTGTGTCTATTGTGTAGTCGTAGGGAACTGCTGGCAGCTCTGCATGACTACATGTACAACAAATATATATCATTTATAGCTTTTCAACGTTTTTACACGTATATTTAGCACTCATAACGAAAAAGCGAAATATTTTTCATCAAATTAGAGTGAAACAATGAATTTTTTATTTATGCAATTGAATTTTCTATAGGTATCTTTTTTTAAAAAAATCACTGTGCCCCCTAGTTCCAGGCGATCGATCAGGCTCGGTGCCGCCGCACGCAACGCAAACTTTTCTCGTCCCGGCCGGACCGCCGGCACGCCTCGAATCCGACGGTGTGCACATGCTACGATGACGAAGTCAGGGATGGCAGAGTGTGTAAGGAAAATAGACCCCAGCCTATTTACTTTGGATTTTAGTGTTTGATGACCAACATAATTAAATTGGACTAATAAATTTACAAGTAATTATTTTATAGTTCAATAGGGTGCAAGACGCGACTTGGACGAAGGCGACATGATAATCCCACGATCAATACCATAGCAAGACCCTAGAAGCACAAGAGAAGACCCAAGATATCAAGCAAAGTCCAAGCACGAAGATAGGAACCAAGTCAGACGCAAGATCGCGAAGAAACGAGCTTCACAGAGGTGATGACACTGTGCACTATCGCGACAATAGCTCAGCACTGACTAGACGCTGGAGGGTGATCGACCGGACGCAAGAACTGCAGTGTCCGATCGAGTCCAGAGAGGTTCCAGAGCGGCGCCAGCGCGACCGGACGCGTCCGATCGACAGTGACCGGACTCAGCGTCGAGTCCGATCAACGCGCTAGCTTCAACGGTCGGGACGACAGCAGCGTCCGGTCAGTAGCAGAAAGCTGGGTTTTTCCCCCAACTGCTACTTTCTCGGTGTGGCTTATAAATAGACCCCCCAACCGACCATTTGAGAGGAAGAGAGTTGAGAAAACATATCAATGGTGTTGATATACTATTTTAGTGATCTACACTTGCATAGTGCTTAGTGATTCATTAGGTGATTAACGTAGGTGCTTTTGCGAAGTGCTTAGGTTGATTAGACTACCGCTTATGCGCTTGCTCTAGGTTTAGGCCTAGTGTTTAGTGAGGTTGGCACATCTCTTATCATCCGGTGCTTGCGCGCACCATTATTGTACATTGGAGGGGCTTGTAGTCTTGCGAGATCACACCAACCGTGATTGTGGTGTGGCCGCCAACGTGTACCTATAGGAACAAGGCCCGTGACGGTTTGGCCGGAAGCTTGATAGTGAAGACGACGGGGAGCGGTCCAGGAGAGGCTTGCCAGAAGGCACACCGAGACCCACTTGCGCGTGGGGGAAGGCCCGGAGCTATCCACGGAGTTACCTAACCGGGACCTTGGCCCTTGCGAGGGATTCCTTGTGAGGGACTCCAACGAGGACTAGGGAGAAGATTGCGCGCTTCTCGATATCTCGGTAAAAATACCGGAGTCGTCGACTGGAGTTTGCATATCTCTACCTTACTCTTTAGCTTCCGCATTTATATTGTTTGCATAACTCCTTTTGCGATAGAGATAACAACACACTAGCAAAACCATAGTTGCACATTTAGATAGTTTATCTTTTTGTATAGGTTTTGCTAAGGATAGAAAAAGATGCCATAATTTAGAAGTAGAATTTTAAGTTGCTTAATTCGCCCCCCTCTTAGGCGTCACGGTCCCTTTCAGAGTGGACGACGTCCATCGTCTTGACCGTGATGGCTCTCGTCGTGATGATGGGGGCGGTGGCCATCCTCGTCGTCGTCATGCTTTGGCCCTGCGCGCCGTACGTGGCGGTGCGGGGGGGCGAGCCTAGACGTGCTGCTGTATGAGTCCCACTACGACGCGGACAAGGGCTATCGCGGGAACCTGACAGTCTAGGAGCTCGCGCTGCTTCTGGAGGCCCACAACAACGCCGATCATTCCGCGGTCACCTTCTCCTAGCTCGAGATCCGCCTCGTGTTCGCCAACGTGACGGTCGCGGTGGTCCGCGCCGACCCCTTCCGCGTACGTGCCTGGGGCACCCTGCTGCTGCCGTACTTGGCGAGCGTGCACAACTTCCAGCTGAGCGAGGACTTGACCTGAGAGACTCCTCCAGTACACACATCTCAATGCGAATCCAATAATATAGTGTGCAGGGGCATATGCCCTTAAGGCCTCGTTCGTTTGGCGCGGATCGAGGGCCGGAAATAATCCAGCTGATCATTATTACTATAAATAAACTTGCCATTCGATCTGGAACTGTTCCAGGCCTCCATTCCCTGCTAAACGAACGGGTCCTAAGGGGGAGAAACCCTTTTCGTTTGTTGGAACAGAGCAGAGCAGCAATGCGTGCTCTTTAGTCTTACTAGTAGTTACCGGTAGTCGTGGAGGTTGGTGGCATGCTCTGCGACTATTGTAAAGTCCTAGGGACTGCTGGCAGCTCTGCCGACACGAGACGTGCCCTGTTGCAAGGACGTTGTACTGATGTGTATGTAATGGATGGGCGCCACAACCACAAAGCTTTACTACTTTGCTCTGTAGAAGACGGACCCCCAAGCACGGATTGTCTCTTTTGGTGGATTAATGTCTCAAAAAGACACCGCGCTTGCACGTACGACGCATATCCACCATGGTTCATGGACTGGCGCGCGGCGGCGGTGTGGTGTGAGTTACTGCACCATTTACCCGATCGATCTGCCACCCATTCCGTTATGATGGACGGATGGTGTCGTGTCTGTCACCAATGATGGCAACTAGAGTAGCTTTGTTTGCTTTGCTGTACCAACAAGGCAAGCCAAATGTATGCGGTGATCCGATGACGGGGAGCGTAGAGTAGAGACTGGCATGCATGGAGAGAGCATGCACACGCCAGGAATGTATGCATGCCGCCCACCCCCTTTCTTCGATGCGCACGGGAGTAGGCAGGCACCAAACTCCCAATACTCTTTCTGATGGATACTGCAAATAAAGCGGCCTCCTTTCGGGCTTTGCCGAACCACTTCTGTCCGTCTCGTGCTGCTCCACATTGGGGATGCGAAATGTAAGGTGCAAACATTGTGCAATCATACACGTATCATTGAGCCTTGCCATGAAAGATTCCGTCTAGTAGTATTGGAGTCCATACATACACGCACCAAACGCTCTGTGCATGTGGGGTGTGAACTGAACTCTTCTCTGTACCAAACCCGTGCATACACAGTAGTAACACTGGCCAGTAGTCGTCGTAGATGTATACGCACTGCACCTTTTCCAGCGCACACCCACCGGTGGGATGCCTCCAAATCTCTTATTCACGTGTGTGCGGCCGCGCACGCGTGTGTGTGGTGAGCGTGGAGTGTGTAAGTTGTGTGCGTCGAAGTTGTACCCGATCAAAAAAAAAAAAAAGATCGATGCTACGTGTTCACTCTCTGTCTCTGGTTACTCCATCCGTCCCAAAATAAAGTGCACTTCTAGAGTTTAGGTAAAGAGACAAGGTTAGTGAGAAATTACATATATGCCCTTATAAACGTGTAATCATTGCGCCTTAGAAAAGAAAAAGTAAAAAAAGATAAATAAAATTAGTTTGTCTTATATACGTAGAGGTGCAGTTATTTTTAGAAAAAAAATTAAACTCTAGAAGTACAATTGTTACGGGGGACGGAGGTGGACAAGTGGTGGGGAGGAGAG